TCTTCCATCTGTGTCCACCGTTCTGCCTTGCCTGCATCCACTTCCATCTGTGTCCACCATCCATTCTGCCTTGCCTGCATCCTCTTCCATCTGTATCCACCATTCTGCATCCGTCAACCTGGTTCCTGAAAAACAAACTTAGGTGGCCGAAAGCAATTAGTACATGTGCAATGACAAACAAAAAAAGCCAAATTAACTTAATCCCTACTGAACTAAATGGAACTGAACTGGACTGTTCAGTTAGTTTTATCCCCAAGTATTAAGAGCAACTCGGTCTGCAGCCTGCCACTACCCTCAAAAAAATCAATAAAAAACTGTAATCTCCTTTTATTCCAAATCATTCAAACAGATCACCACCATACTGCCTTGCCTGCATCCTCTTCCATCTGTGTCCACCATTCTGCCTTGCCTTGCCTGCATCCTCTTCCATCTGTGTTAACCATTCTGCATCCGCCAAACTGGTTCCTGAAAAACAAAATTAGGTGGCCGAAAGCAATAAGTACATGTGCAATGACAAACAAAAGAAAGCCAAATTAACTTAATCCCTACTGAACTAAATGGAACTGAACTGGACTGTTCAGTTAGTTTTATCCCCAAGTATTGAGAGCAACTCGGTCTGCAGCCTGCCACTACCCTCAAAAAATCAATCAAAAAAACTGTACTCTCCTTTTATTACAAATCGTTCAAACAGATCACCACCATACTGCCTTGCCTGCATCCTCTTCCATCTGTGTCCACCATTCTGCCTTGCCTGCATCCTCTTCCATCTGTGTCCACCATTCTGCCTTGCCTGCATCCTCTTCCATCTGTATCCACCATTCTGCATCTGCCAACCTGTTTCCTGAAAAACAAACTTAGGTGGCTGAAAGCAATTAGTTCATATGCAATGACAAACAAAAAAAACCAAATTAACTTAATCCCTACTGAACTAAATGGAACTGAACTGGACTGTTCAGCTAGTCTTATCCCCTAGTATTGAGAGCAACTCGGTCTGCAGCCTGCCACTACCCTCAAAAAAATCAATCAAAAAAACTGTACTCTCCTTTTATTCCAAATCGTTCAAACAGATCACCACCATACTGCCTTGCCTTGGCTGCATCCTCTTCCATCTGTGTCCACCATTCTGCCTTGCCTTGCCTGCATCCTCTTCCATCTGTGTCCACCATTCTGCATCCACCAACCTGGTTCCTGAAAAACACACTTAGGTGGCTGAAAACAATTAATACATGTGCAATGAAAAACAAAAACAAAAAATTCTTCAATGAATTTAAAGCCAAATTAACTTAACTCCCCAGAGAGAGAGGGGGGTGGGGGGTTTATGTGCACCCTCAAGACAAAACCAAGCAGAAAAACTATACTCTCCTTTTGAGCCAAGTCCAAACAGATCACCACTGTTTGCCTACATCCATCCATCTGTGTTCGCCATTCTGCATCCACCAATTCACGTTCTGAAAACAATTTTAAGGGGAAGAGAGCAATAAGTACATGTGCAATGATGAAAACTGGACTGATAATCGTCACTGGCCTGAAAATGGATTTCAGAAGCTTAAGTCATCGGCTAGTTCAGCTTTTGTTTCAAGTTAAAATATAAAATTTAGAAGTTTGACATGTAACACGACAGAATGACGGGCATGATTCATCTAAGCCACCCACCATCCCATATTAGTACGTCGAAAATTTCCGAATAATTTTGACCCCATTCAGTTTCCCATAAAGGTTTGTTCCAAATTTAGGAAAAAAGAAAATTTAGAAGAGTTTGGCCTATAGTATGACAGACCGACGGACATGAATCATATAATCAACCCACCATCAAATGATGTTGTGTCGAAAATTTCGAAATATGTTTGACGGTATTCAGTTTTCCAAAAAGGTTTGTTCTAAGTTTAATAAAATAGAAAATTTAGAAGTTTGACCTGTAGCATGACAGACTGATGGACATGTTTCATTTATTCCACCCACCATCACATCTTGTTGGTATGCCGAAAATTTCGAAAGAATTTGACACCATTCAAATTCCCATTACAATTTATGTTCAAAAATTTAGAAGTTCGATCTGTAACATGACGACAGAATGGGCATGATTCATCTAAGCCACCCACCTTCACATCATGCTGGTATGTCGAAAATTTGTAAATAATTTAGCCCCATTCAAATTTCCATAAAAGTTTATGTTCCAAGTTTAGTAAAATAGAAAATTTTGGAGTTTGGTCTGTAGCCTGACTGACCAACGGCATGAATCATCTAATCCATCATCATCACATCATGTTGGTATGTCAAATTTCTAAATAATTTTGACTATTCAAATTTCCATAAAGGTCAATGTTCCAAGATTAGGAAATTGTCAAAAGTTTAGCATGACAAATTGACACGCATGATATATCAGTGTATAAAAAAACTGAATAATGTTTAATATGGGCGTGCTGAAAACAATCTAAGCAGGGAGTGAGCAATTAGTTCATGTGTAAAAACATCTTCCAAGAAAGCTAAATTTACTTTATCCCCACAGAAATTAACTGGACTGTACAGCTGAAAGACAAAATCAAACAGAAAAACTGTACTCTAATGTGCAACAAAAAACAAAAAGCAAATAATCTTCAATAAATTTAAAGCCAAATTACCTTAATTCCCCACTGAACTAAATGGAACTGAACTGCCTTGGCTGCATCCTCTTCCATCTGTGTCCACCATTCTGCATCCACCAACCCGAGTCCTGAAAAACAAACTTATGTGGCCGAAAACAATTAGTACATATCTTCAATTAATTGAAAGCCAAATTAACTTCATCCCCAGTGAACGGAACTGGACTGTTCAGCTGGTTTAATTATCTGCCGAATTTAGAGTTGCCAGGCTACAGACCGACACCATGCTCAAGAAATTGTAGGTGTATAAGTACATATTGCTTTAAAAAATCATGCATATAATATAAATAACCAATTAACAACAGACATCTGTAGACAACTTCATTAGAAAAATACTATTGATGACCGTTAGCGATATACAGAGATATAACAATAGTTAAATCCAAATTGCAAAAGAACCCCCATCAATATTTGAATCAAAATGTTACAGTAAAGAAACACATGCTAACAGGTCTAGGACACACATTTATTTACATAAAGTGATTTGATAGATTTTCAGTGAGGAAACTGGTTTAAACTACATGAAGAAACAACCTGAAATGTAATGTTCTAGAGAAATGAAGCAGACTGCTTATATATTATCGCCTAATGTGTGGATCTTCTGTTCTGTATCATAAGCCCATAGCCTAACATGGATTGCCAACTACCAGTAATCTGAGATAACTGGGTGGCCAACCACAAGTCATCAAAGATAACTGGCCTTGTCGAGGACCAATGAATGAGGTGTGCACACCAGAAAAACCAATAGAAGCAAGACAGAAGTCTCTAGTATATCTCAGATGTAAATCAGCCACAATCCTGTTAGATTAACAATGTCATAAACCTTGAGTTCAGCTCTGTAATTGTTGATCACAGAAGTTCCAAATATGTATTGATGTGTTTGTGTTCTTGTTCTAAGAAGTAATAGTTAAGTCTGCAGCCTACAACCATTACAACGAATATTAATCTCCAGATAATAACATAGAAACTGTCTAGCTAGAAGCCACTAGAATACAAGAAATTCAGATTGTTTATGTTGTGTATGTGGATTAGAGAAGAAACTGTTTATGCATGAGGACTAGCTGTCTCAGCATTTCATCCATGTGAAACCTACAAGATTTCTGATCTCCAAACAATAACACAAAGAACCTGTCACGACCTACAAGAATTCTAATCTCCAGAATATAACAGAACTGCTGAAATCTGTTCTTCCACTAGTAGCCAGAAGAAAACAATGTTATATATGTGGACTACAGAAATTAATGTTGGTGTTGTGTTTTCTCCTGATAGAGATAAACATCTGTTTATATGGGTTTATATTGAAGTTATGACATGTTAATCTATCTAGCCTAGACATAACAAGTAGACTCATCCCTCAAGTAGCTATACACCAAATTTCCACTAAAAGTCAATGTTTCCAAGGACCCCTATTTTAAAATGTGTTTGGCGACTAGAAATTTTTATCCGCTTGCTCAAGTGTATATAGATTTCACTTATATAGATTTCACATTTAGATTTAAGAAATAAATGTGGTATACGGTCCATTCGAAAAAAATTCTATTTGGACACTAACAAGATTTATTTTTTATTGTTTCGAGAATAACATATGGTAAATGTTATTTGAAGCAAGGAAACGCATTGTTATGTACAAACCCTGGATTTAAAGGAACATGGTGGGACAAGGTGATTTGCTTTTCAAAATTTCAGTCTAATTTGTGGAAATAACAAGTGGTTGCCATGCAAGATACGCACAATCAGGGGACATAAACATATTTTGAGTTTCATCAAAATTGACCAAAAAATGTAACCTCTAGAGGGTCTACAAACTTGGTATTACCCACTTTTAAATTGTTTGCATACAAGGACCGGTCATTTGTTACGCGGTTTTGATTTAAGTTTCACGAAATTTGAACTCTACCATCATTACGATAAAAATTGTGACCTCCAGAGGGTTCAAAAGCTAAAAATGTAATTTTTCGTACTATCAGGGGCCAAAAGCTATGATGTTACGGTCTAATACATGCCAATAACGAGATAAACCTATATTTCAAATTTCGTCAAATTCAGATAAAAAAATTTGACCTATAGCTAGAGCGTCTTCATGAAAATGTGGGAGTACAAAAATGTAATAGTAATATGCACTGTTACATGTGCAATGACAAACAAAAAAAAAAGCCAAATTAACTTAATCCCTACTGAACTAAATGGAACTGAACTGGACTGTTCAGCTAGTCTTATCCCTTAGTATTGAGAGCAACTCGGTCTGCAGCCTGCCACTACCCTCAAAAAATCAATCAAAAAAACTCTCCTTTTATTCCAAATCTTTCACCAGATCACCACCATACTGCCTTGCCTGCATCCTCTTCCATCTGTGTCCACCATCCATTCTGCCTTGCCTGCATCCTCTTCCATCTGTATCCACCATTCTGCATCCGCCAACCTGGTTCCTGAAAAACAAACTTAGGTGGCTGAAAGCAATTAGTTCATATGCAATGACAAACAAAAAAAAGCCAAATTAACTTAATCCCTACTGAACTGAATGGAACTGAACTGGACTGTTCAGTTAGTCTTATCCCCAAGTATTGAGAGCAACTCGGTCTGCAGCCTGCCACTACCATCAAAAAATCAATCAAAAAAACTGTAATCTCCTTTTATTCCGAATCGTTCAAACAGATCACCACCATACTGCCTTGCCTGCATCCTCTTCCATCTGTGTCCACCATTCTGCCTTGCCTGCATCCTCTTCCATCTGTGTCCACCATCCATTCTGCCTTGCCTGCATCCTCTTCCATCTGTATCCACCATTCTGCATCCGCCAACCTGGTTCCTGAAAAACAAACTTAGGTGGTCGAAAGCAATTAGTACATATGCAATGACAAACAAAAAAAAGCCAAATTAACTTAATCCCTACTGAACTAAATGGAACTGAACTGGACTGTTCAGTTTTATCCCCAAGTATTAAGAGCAACTCGTTCTGCAGCCTGACACTACCTTCAAAAAAATCAATAAAAAAACTGTAATCTCCTTTTATTCCAAATCATTCAAACAGATCACCACCATACTGCCTTGCCTGCATCCTCTTCCATCTGTGTCCACCATTCTGCCTTGCCTTGCCTGCATCCTCTTCCATCTGTATCCACCATTCTGCATCCGCCAACCTGGTTCCTGAAAAACAAACTTAGGTGGCTGAAAGCAATTAGTTCATATGCAATGACAAACAAAAAAAAGCCAAATTAACTTAATCCCTACTGAACTGAATGGAACTGAACTGGACTGTTCAGTTTTATCCCCAAGTATTAAGAGCAACTCGTTCTGCAGCCTGACACTACCTTCAAAAAAATCAATAAAAAAACTGTAATCTCCTTTTATTCCAAATCATTCAAACAGATCACCACCATACTGCCTTGCCTGCATCCTCTTCCATCTGTGTCCACCATTCTGCCTTGCCTTGCCTGCATCCTCTTCCATCTGTATCCACCATTCTGCATCCACCAACCTGGTTCCTGAAAAACAAACTTAGGTGGCTGAAAGCAATTAGTTCATATGCAATGACAAACAAAAAAAAGCCAAATTAACTTAATCCCTTCTGAACTGAATGGAACTGAACTGGACTGTTCAGTTAGTCTTATCCCCAAGTATTGAGAGCAACTCGGTCTGCAGCCTGCCACTACCCTCAAAAAATCAATCAAAAAAACTGTCCTCTCCTTTTATTCCAAATCGTTCAAACAGATCACCTCCATACTGCCTTGCCTGCATCCTCTTCCATCTGTGTCCACCATTCTGCCTTGCCTTGCCTGCATCCTCTTCCATCTGTGTCCACCATTCTGCCTTGCCTTGCCTGCATCCTCTTCCATCTGTGTCCACCATTCTGCCTTGCCTGCATCCTCTTCCATCTGTATCCACCATTCTGCATCCGCCAACCTGGTTCCTGAAAAACAAACTTAGGTGGCTGAAAGCAATTAGTACATATGCAATGACAAACAAAAAAAAGCCAAATTATCTAAATCCCTACTGAACTAAATGGAACGGAACTGGACTGTTCAGCTAGTCTTATCCCCAAGTATTGAGAGCAATTCGGTCAGCAGCCTGCCACTACCCTCAAAAAATCAATCAAAAAAACTGTACTCTCCTTTTATTCCGAATCGTTCAAACAGATCACCACCATACTGCCTTGCCTGCATCCTCTTCCATCTGTGTCCACCATTCTGCCTTGCCTGCATCCTCTTCCATCTGTGTCCACCATCCATTCTGCCTTGCCTGCATCCTCTTCCATCTGTATCCACCATTCTGCATCCGCCAACCTGGTTCCTGAAAAACAAACTTAGGTGGTCGAAAGCAATTAGTACATATGCAATGACAAACAAAAAAAAGCCAAATTAACTTAATCCCTACTGAACTAAATGGAACTGGACTGTTCAGTTTTATCCCCAAGTATTAAGAGCAACTCGGTCTGCAGCCTGCCACTACCTTCAAAAAAAATCAATAAAAAAACTGTAATCTCCTTTCATTCCAAATCATTCAAACAGATCACCACCATACTGCCTTGCCTGCATCCTCTTCCATCTGTGTCCACCATTCTGCCTTGCCTGCATCCTCTTCCATCTGTATCCACCATTCTGCATCCGCCAACCTGGTTCCTGAAAAACAAACTTAGGTGGCTGAAAGCAATTAGTTCATATGCAATGACAAACAAAAACAAGAGCATCGCTAACGCTGCAATATACGTCCACATTCCAGCTTTGATTGATATGGTACTTTTTAAAATGAAGAAAATGAAATATGAAATGGCTGTAATATGATCAGAGGCAAAGAAGGCTAGGCGTCGGGTTTGTTTTGCCAAATTTACAGACAAAATACTAACAGTAAAGTGGGTGTGACACTGCCCCAAGAGGTCCGGGCAAGTATCAAAATAAATTGTTGCTGTCTTTATGGTATAAGGAATAAATATGCAAAGTTCCAAGATGATTCAGAATTGCAGCCTGTAGACGATAAATACAAAAACTGGGCGTGGCTCTGCCCATGGGGGTTGGATATGGAAACAATATAAACAGGTACCATCCTGTTATTGAAATGGCAACATCACTAGTTGCCGTCCTTAGGGTATAAGGAATAAGTACACCAAGTTCCAAAATAATCCATTCAGAATTGTGGCCTTTGGGCGTTAAAGGCAAAAATTGGGCGTTGCTCTGCCCCTGGGCGTTGGGGCATTCACCAAAATCAATAGTTGATGCCCTTAGGCTATAAGGAATACATATGCCAAATACCAAGTTGATCCATCCAGAATTCGGGCCTGTAAACGATATACATAAAAATTGGGCATGACTGCCCCTGGGGGTCGTGACATGCAGTTGTCGTCCTTAGGCTATAAGGAAAACATATCCCAAGTTCAAAGACAATCCATTAGGAATCGTGGCCTGTAGGCAACTCACAGAGACACAAAGAAAAAATGGGTGTGGCTCTGCCCCTGGGGGTTGGGCAATCACCAAAAAAATAGAGGTCAGCCTTGGGGTATAATGTATAAGTATAAAAAAGTTTTCAAGATGATCGATTAAGCATTGCAGGCTGTAGGTGACATACAGACACACAAAAAGAAAATGGGTGTGGCTCTGTCCCTGGGGGCTGGGCATTCACCACAAACAATAGGGATGTTCCTTAGGATAGAAGGAGTAAGCATGCAAAGTTTCAAGGTGATACGTTACGAAATGCGGTCTGTAGATAACAAACAATGAATATAAGAAATGGGCGTGGCTCTGCCACTGGGGGTCGGACATGCACCAAGAACAATAGGGATCATCCTTAGGGTATAAGGAATTCATATGAAATTTTTTCAAGACGGTCGATTAAGAATTGTGGCCTGTAGGCGACACACAGACACACAAAGAGAAAATGGGCGTGGCTCTGCCCCTGGGGGTTGGGCATGCACCCCAAACGATAGGGGTGTTCCTTAGGGTACAAAGAAAAAGTATGCAAAGTTTCAATATGATGCGTTAAGAAATGCGGCCTGTAGACGACAAACAAACAAATACAAGAAATGGGCGTGGCTCTGCCCCTGGGGGTCGGGCATGCACCAAAAACAATAGGGATCTTCCTTGGGGTATAAGGAATAAGTATACCAAGTTTGAAGAAAATCCAGTAAGAATTGCGCCCTGTAGGCGACACAAAGACACACGAAAAGAAAATGGGCGTGGCTCTGCCCGTGGCTCTGCCCCTGGGGGTTGGGCATGTACCCCAAACGATAGGGATGTTCCTTAGGGTACAAAGAATGTGTATGCAAGATTATAAGTTAAGAAATGTGGCCTGTAGACGACAAACAAACAAATACTAGAAATGGGCGTGGCTCTGCCCCTGGGGGTCGGGCATGCACCAAAAACAATAGGGATCTTCCTTGGGGTATAAGGAATAAGTATACCAAGTTTGAAGAAAATCCAGTAAGAATTGCGCCCTGTAGGCGACACAAAGACACACGAAAAGAAAATGGGCGTGGCTCTGCCCCTGGGGGTTGGGCATGCACCCCAAACGATAGGGATGTTCCTTAGGGTACAAAGAATGTGTATGCAAAGTTTCAAGATTATTAGTTAAGAAATGTGGCCTGTAGACGACAAACAAACAAATACTAGAAATGGGCGTGGCTCTGCCCCGGGGGGTCGGGCATGCACCAAAAACAATAGGGATCTTCCTTGGGGTATAAGGAATAAGTATACCAAGTTTGAAGAAAATCCATGAAGAATTGCGCCCTGTAGGCGAACCACAGACACACACACACACACACACACACACACACACACACACATACATACATACACACACACACACACACAGACAGGGGCGACGGCATAATACGTTCACATTATGAATGTGGACGTATAAAAAGCCAAATTAACTTAATCCCTACTGAACTAAATGGAACTGAACTGGACTGTTCAGCTAGTCTTATCCCCTAGTATTGAGAGCAACTCGGTCTGCAGCCTGCCACTACCCTCAAAAAAATCAATCAAAAAAACTGTACTCTCCTTTTATTCCAAATCGTTCAAACAGATCACCACCATACTGCTTTGCCTGCATCCTCTTCCATCTGTGTCCACCATTCTGCCTTGCCTGCATCCTCTTCCATCTGTGTCCACCATTCTGTATCCGCCAACCTGGTTCCTGAAAAACAAACATAGGTGGCCGAAAGCAATTATTACATGTGCCATGACAAACAAAAAAAAGCCAAATTAACTTAATCTCTACTGAACTAAATGGAACTGAACTGGACTGTTCAGCTAGTCTTATCCCCAAGTATTGAGAGCAACTCGGTCTGCAGCCTGCCACTACCCTCAAAAAATCAATCAAAAAAACTGTACTCTCCTTTTATTCCAAATCGTTCAAACAGATCATCACCATACTGCCTTGCCTGTATCCTCTTCCATCTGTGTCCACCATTCTGCCTTGCCTGCATCCTCTTCCATTTGTGTCCACCATTCTGCATCCGCCAACCTGGTTCCTGAAAAACAAACTTAGGTGGCCGAAAGCAATTAGTACATGTGCAATGACAAACAAAAAAAAGCCAAATTAACTTAATCCCTACTGAACTAAATGGAACTGAACTGGACTGTTCAGTTAGTCTTATCCCCAAGTATTAAGAGCGACTCGGTCTGCAGCCTGCCACTACCCTCAAAAAAATCAATAAAAAAACTGTAATCTCCTTTTATTTGGAATCATTCAAACAGATCACCACCATACTGCCTTGCCTGTATCCTCTTCTATCTCGTCCACCATTCTGCCTTGCCTTGCTTGCATCCTCTTCCATCTGTGTCAACCATTCTGCATCCGCCAACCTGGTTCCTGAAAAACAAACTTAGGTGGCCGAAAGCAATTAGTACATGTGCAATGACAAACAAAAAAAAAGCCAAATTAACTTAATCCCTACTGAACTGAATGGAACTGAACTGGACTGTTCAGTTAGTCTTATCCCCAAGTATTGAGAGCAACTCGGTCTGCAGCCTGCCACTACCCTCAAAAAATCAATCAAAAAAACTGTCCTCTCCTTTTATTCCAAATCGTTCAAACAGATCACCTCCGTACTGCCTTGCCTGCATCCTCTTCCATCTGTGTCCACCATTCTGCCTTGCCTTGCCTGCATCCTCTTCCATCTGTGTCCACCATTCTGCCTTGCCTGCATCCTCTTCCATCTGTATCCACCATTCTGCATCCGCCAACCTGGTTCCTGAAAAACAAACTTAGGTGGCTGAAAGCAATTAGTTCATATGCAATGACAAACAAAAAAAAAGCCAAATTAACTTAATCCCTACTGAACTAAATGGAACTGAACTGGACTGTTCAGTTTTATCCCCAAGTATTAAGAGCAACTCGGTCTGCAGCCTGCCACTACCCTCAAAAAAATCAATAAAAA